TAATATGAGATTTACTCGAAGATCGAAGAAGATGATGTATTAGTTGTTTTCTTATATGTCGATGATTTGTTGATTACAAAAGGTAAATTTACTTTGATCGATAATTTTAAAAGAATAATGTAATATCAATTTGAGATGATCGATTTGAAAAATTCGTCATATTTTCTAGGAATGGAATTCATCAAAGGTAGGGAAGACATTTTGATTCATCAAAGTAAATATGCTAAAGAAATGTTCAAGAAATTTAGGATGAGTGAGTGTAATGCGACGATTACACCAGTTGAGACAAATTTAAAGCTTAACAAAGATGAATATAGAAAAATTGTATATGATATAGTTTTTAGGTAAATGGTTGGTTGCTTAAGATACTTGTGTTGTAGTATGCCGAATATCTATTGTGGTGTTGAATTGTTGAGCAGAATTATGGAGAAACCAAAAGCTTCTCATCTTGCAGTAGCTAAGAGAGATTTGAGGTATACTAAAGGGACGATTGATTTTGACATTCTACTATCAAATGCTATATATCAAAGTGAGAATTGATCGGATATTTCGATTCTGACTGGGCTGGTGATAAAGTTGGGTTCAAAAGCACATTAGATTATGTATTCCTATTAAGAAAGTCACTGATTTTATGGTGCTCGAAGTTACAACCTGTTGTAACACTCTCCTGTTGCGAAGTTGAATACATTGCTGCTACTTACACAGGTTGTCAAGTATTGTGGATCAATAGTTTGGTAAATCGAGTCCTTGGAAGATCAGAGAAGACTATGACTTTGAAGATCGATAATAAGTCAAACATCAATTTAGCAAAAAAACCAATTCATCATGAGAGAAACAAACATATTGGTTTGAGATTTCATTTCATTAGAGATAAAGTAAGGAAGAAGAAGTTGAGGCTTGAGCACTGTGACACGAATGAGAAGTTGATAGATATTATAACGAAGTCTTTGAATAATGGAAGGTTCGAAGAATTGAAAAAAAAAACTTGAATATCAAATCAATTACTAAATTAGACAGTTGTGTTACATGATAATTCAATAATTATGATATAATAATAGTCTCAATTAGGTTAGTTAGTGTAACTAATTTCAATTCCTGTTATAAATACTATATCTCTAAAATATTTGGCATAATAATTGTATATACCAAAATATACAACTTCTTTTCAGTATCTCTTGACACATCTCTCTCGGTACTTGTTCACTTAACCCTTTTCCATTAACATATTGAACATCTTAGCTTTAGACTAAGTTCATAGTGATCTTGATTAAGTTATAGAACGATGTTATTCAGATGCAGATGATATGTCAAATTCATTTATGCTTTTTACTTTTTCTATCCTCCACATTGAAGTGCTAATATGGGTTGGAACCCATGAGTCAACTCGGCTCACTATGGGTTCGAGCTCGGTTGAGTTTGATTTTTTTTTTATTTCTATTGATAATAGGTTAAAAATGAATCAGGCTCACTTAACCCATGAGTTAAGCATATTCGAGCCGATTATGATGGGTTGACCTGTAACCCATCATTCATTTTAATTTTTAAAAATAATTATAATAATTTAATAATCTTAATTGATGTTATTTTTGCTTTTTTACCTTTATTTCATGTCATTATTATAAGTTAAACTCTCAGTCAAGTTTATAATCAATTGTTCATTACACCATTGTGTTCATTCCTACACCTAGGCCCCTTACCATCTTTCTGCCATATCACTACGTCATCATATTCATTGCGTTTGTCGCATTAATGTGTTTCAATTGTGTTATAACATTGATTGTGATTCAATCTCACATTTCAGTCGCATCATAACATTTGTCATGTCAGTACCACAACGTTTTAGTCTCGCATTTCAATTGTACTACAATGTTTGTTACGTCATCGCATTTACCGTATTACTACATTCATCACACCATCACAACATCGTGTTTCAGTTGTATTATAATGTTTGTCACATTTCAACATTTGTTGTATTTTAGTCGCATTTCAACATTTGATGTATCAGCGTGATTATGTTTTAGTTTTACGATATAATTGTATTTATTATAAAAAAAAAAATGAACAAGTAAGTGAAGCCATCTAACTTACCAATGTGAGAGTGGTTAAATTGAATTGTGAAGTTTTTAGCTAGTTAGAAAGTAAGTCGGTAGAGTTCGTTCATTTTCAAGTTAGGACGTGGTGGAACCGGGTCAATTGACTTATAAACATTGACCTCCACACGGCATGTGCGTTGTCGATTACTCATTGGTGAGTGGTCCTTCGTATTTATTCACTCTAGGTATCTTCTCCTTCCTCTTCACTCTTAATTATTATCACCATCACTTTACTGCAACATGCTCTTCAATTTTTAACTGCAACAATCTCAATCATTCAAAACAAATTAAACACTATTTTTTTTTAATCAGAAATTGGACATGAGATAATGAAGAAGAAAAAAAATAAAAGGAAAAATAATACAAAATAAGATAATTTGAATTAAAAAAAAAAGTAGAAACGAAAAAAATAACTAAAAAAATATTTTTCTAATTAGTTATTATTATTATTTAGTTTTAATATTTTTTTTAAGTTATGATATAATTACTTATAAAAAAGGTGATTTTAATAAATATTTAAATAGAATAATTGTAGTGACGGTAAAATTGGTTATTTTTCTTACTTCTCCTATCGAGAACTCATGTATCATATATACCTTCAAAATAAAGAACTTTGACTACTAGAAAAAAACACCTATACCTAACATGATTAAATGAATACTCAAAAGTATAGTAATTTTATTTTCATCTTTTCATACATAACCAGATAATAACGGAAAAGATTCATCAACACAATAGTGATATGGTGTCAAAAGTGCATGTCATTAAACTTTTTGAGACTAAATTTTGTATGTGCCAATATTTAGAAAAAAGAGTGTTCCCATCCATTTGGATATGATATCATCATTATGTCCTTTTTAATAATCAAATTAAACTTTTAATTTATTAAATTGTTCTATTCCCACCTTTAATTTTACATCCATGTGAAACATACACAACAAGGAAAAAAATTCAAATGATAAATTCAATTAGTATTATGACAAAATTTAACGGTAGGAAGAAAGTTAAAAGACAAGGAACTTATGATTTGTTCAGGGAACATTTAAGATAGGAGAAAGTCACAAAATCAGGAACTTTTCATATATTAGAAGGATTATGGATGTAAAAAATAATAATTTTTTTATCAGTAATTATGATATTGAAATATCTAATTTAGCTTTGAATTTGACCTTGTATATATACAAGCATCTCGATAAATACTTATTTATTAAATAAAAAAACTTCTTCTAAATTACATAATTATTAAGTAAGTATCAAATTAATAAAATATAGAATACTGAATAGAGACCATATAACTATTCAAAATATAAGCATAGATACTATTCAAAATATAAGCATAGATGAGTTTCAATTTTTAAAATTCAAATTTAATCGAAAATAACTTTTCAGTACTAATGAGTTAATTCGACAGAAAAAGTGACAAAGACAATTTTGAAAGTTTCTTAAACTGTGGATAATGTAATTCCATATCGTTTTTAAAAAATAAACATTTTTTCTGATAAAAAACTCACTTTCTGCGAAAAGTAAAATTGACATTTACAAGGCCAATAATTTTTCATTTTCTTCACTGCATTTCACTCCTAAAAACCTCTACAAATAAGTGAGTCTCTCTTTAGTTCACTCAACGCCATTAAACTTGGTACGAAAATGCTGCTGTTTCTGTGGTTAGTGACACAGTTATGAGTGCGATCCTTTCACCCACTCACGGATCCAGCCCCTCCAATAATTCTGGCTCTTGCCCGGCTTTTTTCTAAGGTATTCTCATACTTTCTGCTACAACTTCTGTATCTGCAAAATTTTTATTAACTACTCAAACTGAAAAAGGTTGACATAAACACAGACACACACAAAATTTTCTTGGTTCTTGGATACACCCCGCATGGGTTTTGATTTAACACCATACTTGCTCACATGTTGCTATAGAAAAACAAGTTTGGATTTATCTCTTGGATCCCGTCAACTCTGACCAGCCTTGATGCAGTCAGGCTAGAAATTTTTTGGTTTTTCTGTTGTCCCGCTATCCCTTTATTACATTTCTCCATAAGCTAAATTCATCCTTTTGAAAATTTGTTCTAGTCAACTTAATTTCTATCTTAATGACGCTTTTTTTGGTTCTGTCAAATCAAAATCTGCATCAGATAGAGTACACCAACCTTTTATAGCACAAAATTTCAAATACTAGTCAGTAATAATTTTTAACGAGACATAAGCCTATCATTTGTATAAGCTGTCAAGCCTACAGGACGTAAAACCTGCCATCTCTACAAGCTTTTCAAGGACACAAAAGGGTTGGTTGGTTGGTTGATCACTCAAATAAAGAAAATGAAAAGCCTTTCACCTTAACCACTACTACACATTTAAATTTTATATCAAGTTAAGCACATTCACTGTCAGGTGTTTCATTTCTATAAATTATATCATTTCTTTGTAACAAAAGATACCAAACAGTGCAAACCAAACAAAGCCCCCCAGTTGAATTATATTTCTTTCCACCAACACTAGCATTGTATTGCATGAAATGTTAGTCAGGATCTTATGGCAAATAGCATGATATCACTTTCTGGTTTTCACAAGTAATAATTCAGTTTAATTACAACCTGTTTTGACGGTAGATTAAAAGGAGAATCACCTGCTAATTGTATATAATTAGACCACCTTGTGCGTAAGATGTGGATTTAACTTATGTTGAAATTACTGGTCACAATTTTTTTTTTAAATAAGTTATTGCTTCATGAAAATAAATTGTTTCCAAGGACTGACTTAGAGAATAATAACTTTGGTTGGAAAAGGTATAATATCATGTGCAAAAGAAAGAACCCAGGAACGGAATTGAGGCAGCAGAGCAGGCCACCATCGCCAGAGTTTTCTTCGTCATCGTCATCTTCTTCGGTATCATATTCATCAAAGATGGCAACTGAGGAAGAAGAGAAGGTGCATGGTGCAGATGGTCAAGAAACAAAGGCCATGGATCTGGTTGGTTGTCTTCGATGCTTCATGTACGTCATGTTATCAGAGGTGGATCCAAAGTGCCCTAAGTGCAAGAGCACAGCATTTATCGAGTTTTTCAAACATGAAAGCATCAAGACAGACAATTGAGTTCTCCCACTATGAGTCTAATTTAATCATAATAAAATAAGGAAAAACAAAACTTGGTTCTGGGATGTTTATTTATTTATGCTTATTTAAAATCTTAAGGATAATATGAAGTAAGTAAAGTTTGAGGGAGATGGTGTGGAACGCAGCTCCTCTGGTACTTCACGAGGAACAGTGGAAAGTCCATCTTCTTGAGGGAAATATAGTTTGGTTCATGTACTTCGTCAATTGAGCCAAGTTGCAGAGCTTTAATTATATGCCAAATATGGATTCTGTATGTGAATGATGGTTTTCATTCAAGTTTTTAGGGGCTTTTGTTTTTATTAATCATTGAATCGAACGGGGAAAGATGTGTTACAAGATCAGAAATTAAACTCCATTAATGCTTTCAAGATAAGTTAACAGGTTTGATGCTTGTTTAGCCTCAAATCTGACTCGATGAAAGTTGGATACACAATCTGTTTCTATATTCTGACCATTTTTTTTTCACCTTTTAACATGAGTTCAAATAAAAAAGGAATTAATTAAGCAATGCAAGAAAGGAAAGGACGAAAGCCTTAAACTACCCTCACGTGTCTTACTGGCAAAATTGTTACAGCACTATGCATATTCAATACACAGAAGAAAAACAGTAAAACTCCTTGACAAGTTCTGTTCTTCTCCATCACTTGATTTTTGTTTGGTATAAAAAAGTTAACGGAAATAAATTAATAATATGTCTGGAGGTACACGATGAACGCTATGTAAACAAGAAAAATCATGTTCGAGTTTTTGAAAAGAGGTTAGGAACAACCTTATGCACATGATTTCTGGCTTTCATGGATGGCAATTAACTACGTATAAGATGTGTTGTATTCATACGTAAGATTTCCCAGGAACTTTTTGGTAAAACGATGCATTCAAAAGCCACTGTTTTGCTTCACTTGATATTGAAAATGGAGCTGCATGCTGCTAGATGGATTTTTTCTTCAAGATTAAAAGTTTGCAAAGTAAAGTTCAGAGTTTATGATATTGAGTAGTAGCAATGAATACTAATTATGAATTATTTGCCATGATACGGTGGGGTTTCTTGGAATATTATTAGCAAGAGTTCGTAGATACAAAATGGTTTAGTAGAATGATGTAAGAGGTTTAGGTAAATGACTTTCGTGTCAAATGTTTTAAGTTATACGACACGTTTGTAGAACATATAATTTGCGCAAAACAGAATATGTAGGGCTCGGATTCAACTTAAAATTAATTCATACTTTTTTAAAAAAGAGAAAATTTATTTTGAAAACACTTTTCCACAAACCTCTATTCTATAACTCTCATTCCTCTTATACATCTTATTATAATATTATTATTTATTATTTTATTATTTTTCGATGGTTGTAGACTGGGGCATTGAATGTCAAAATATCAGCATCCTTAAAAAAATTTGATTAATTTAGTTAGTATATTTAAATTTATTTGTAATTATAATATTTTTAAATTAATCTAAGTAGAGGGGTTTTAATCTGTAAAACTAAACCGTTTAATTATCTGGTATTCATAATCAAGAGAGGAATAAACCATTTGTAATGGAAGGTTAATTTTAATGATAATAGAAAAAGAAATCAAGAAAGCATTATGTATAATACCTTCAACAAATTAGAATTAAAAAATTATTTTGGTAATATATGTAAGTATTCCACTAAATGTTTTAGAATAATTTTGAAGTCAACCTCTAATTTTCATTAGTGAACAAATATTGGATGTATGTATATATATATATATATATATATATATATATATATATATATATATATATGTATGTATGTATGTATGTTATTGGTTTTTAAGATAATATATACAATGTGATAAAAATAGTATTCACAACCCTTAGTTTTTTTTAAAAATAAATATTTAGTTTCTTATATCTGTTATAAATTACATTTATATTTTTATTTAGTGGCACTTTATTTTAGTTGAAAATATCATATTTACTAAAACTTCAGTACAAAATTAAAGTCTTAAAATCTAGAAATTAAAAAAAAAGTTATAAGTAAAAAAATTTAAATGTTTTCTTACAAATTGAATAAAGGAAGTGTTGAAACTGTATTATACTATAAGAGAGGTGAAAAGATGAATGTCCCTTTAAAAATTATATTGAGAGTATGAATGTCATTTAATTTAAAATATAAAGAAAACAAATATTTATTTTAAACCTAAAAATAATGTTAGTTATTAAGTATAATTTTTAAGAGGTAAATATATTTTTTCATTTTATTTTTGAAGTTGTAAAACAAATCTTATTTGATTTGAAAAATAAAATAAAGACTAATATATATTTAAAAATTGGTCTACAATAACAAAGTCCAGTTCGAAAATGCACTATAAACAACAATTAAAACCTACAACACCTTGATACACTTGTTATATGATGTTACTCTAAAATTAATTGTGTAAATTACAATAACTTAAATTCATTTATTTATTCCGTAGTTATTAAACAATAGCAAAATTACTAAAACAAAAATCACAATGCTAAAATATATACAAAACAATAAACAATATTTTTCTTTCTGTATTACATTATATTACTTATCATATTTATATATATTTTTTCTCTCATCTTTCTAATAATTATGGGTTGAATTTCATTTTCAACGTCCAAAAATCGTTTTTGTTCTGTAGTGACGAAGAGAAAGATTTCGAATTTATGGATGGTCAACAAATTGCAGTGTGTGCTTGAAGAGTCTGTAAGACGTATGAATAAATTTCTACATGAAGGATTCATGGATGTGAAGGGTCTTGTTTTGTGCAAGGTTGACATATATGCAGCGATGTATGACCCTTCTTTTTATTATGTGTAGTTAGGGTAACCATTTAAATACATATATATTATCAAACAATATGTTTTCTTGGCTGACATAAAAAAAACAAAGATACAAATAGAAATTTGTTTCATTAGATTAAAGTTAATTTAAACTTATTTCATACACCATTACTCATGTTATTATCAACATGTCATGAATTTTGGACTTAAAAAGCAATTTTGGTACTGAGAAGGTAAAGAAGATCAACTGCTTCTTTGAAAAATTAACTGATAATACTAGTTTGAAAAAATACATTGTTCTGAGTTCATCGATATTGTTAGCTACATCGAAAATATTGTTGATTTTGGCGATGTCAGCAAAATTAGTCATCAGGATAAGTGTTATCTATTTGAACAAGTAGTAGTTTTGTTATAATTTTATTTTGAAAAGATGCTGTAGTACGAGAAAGAAGAAACATGTTTATAAAGTATTTTTACCTTAATTTTTAAGCAAAGTAAAGCTCGGGGAAACTGATCTAAAGAAACCCTGCAACGAAAATTTTGTCGGCATATATAACAAGCGAAGAAAAAAGAAAGCATGCAAAACAAGAAAGAGAAAACAGCATGCAGCAGAGTGTTGGTGATGATTTGATGCGATTGTTTTGGCGGTTGTGGTTGGAATACGACAAAGATGGCTTAGTCGACTTGACTGTTGCAAAAAGGGCTGTGATTATGGCAACCCATACGCGGTGGTCCCTGCATGTGTTGGCAGAGGTCATGTGAGCTTGGAGCGGTGGTGGTAGTTGAGTGCCACAGTGATTTGGTTGGATATCTCATTCAGGAATTGAAGGGACTGAGTGATGTGGGTCATTAGGGTTTTCTTTTCTTCTTAGTTCTTGGCTGATACTGAGATTGGTTCAGAAGATGAGGTATAGCTAAGCTAGCTGAGGGTCATGCGTGATGAACTGAGGTAGTTCCTAGTCCCCATTCAATCTCTTTCTCTTCTTCTTCTTCTTCTTCTGTTCCATCTCTTCTTCTTCTTCTTCTTGGAACAGGTAACCAAAAGTCAAAACCCACTGAAATATTGTACAGTACCTGCTGTAAAATCACCAAAAACACTTCTTCTGTATGCAGAGTAAAATTGGAGCAGTAAGCACGCCTAGGAGTTAGACAAATTCTTTTTTTAAACATGTCTATCCTCGAAGAAAAATGATTTTTTTTTTGTTTCGATGGCAACATTTATATATTATGATCAAACTAGTTTTTCCAAATGTAATTTTGAGTCGTTCTGTACAATATCATGCAACTTGAATCAATTGGTAGTTGATGATTAGACATTGTTGTGAAAGAAAATATTTTTATGTCTTGATGAAGAAATGGTTTTTTATTTTATTTAGGGTTTAGGGTTTCAAGACAGGTGGTGTACAACGAGCCTGGGTCAACACTAAATAAAATTTGCTTATGAATTACCAAATAAATTAAATTAAATTAAATGAAGTTTTTTTTTTGTAAGTATTATTACCTTTTGCATGTCAAAATTGAGTAACAAAAACTATAGAAAGAGACCCACGTACAACAAGTTGTATAATACTTTATACAACATTATAAATACACTGTATTTTTTTTTAATTAAAACGTAAATATATAGTTGCTGAACAACAAGTTGTATTTTTTTAATTAAAACGTAAATAATACAACGTAAATAATTAAGTTAATTATTACTAAAATTAATACTCAAGGAAAAAGGACTGAACTTCAATATATAGTTGCTCTAACTTTTCTAAATGAAACTTAGAATACTAATAACCATGTTAATATACAGATAAAAAAATCAACAGTTGTCTCTAAAAATAATACAAAGAATTCAAATACAAGATAATTAGAACAAAAATGCTGTTATTGGATAAAAATATAAAAAATAAGGAACATTATCTCCATATATAGAAATGAGTAAAAATAAAATAAAAAATACAAATATTTGGCTCTAATTTTTTAAAATAATTTTTTATTATTTTTTAAATAATTTAATGAAATGGCAAAAAGGGAGAATATTCTCCTCTCGTATGATTCCAATTTAAAGTAATCGTGTTTATGGTGAATCCATGAAGATAACTCTTAACATTTATTTCCTCTCTCTCTCTCTCTCTACCTAACTAAGGCAATAAGTCTCCAATGTCTTCAAGTTAATATACCTTCGCAATGAACCTGAGACAGCTTCTATTATTACGGTTTGATCCCAACAGTATGATTTATAATGTGATGGGAGATTTTTCTTCTAAACCTTCCTCCAGATTGAAAAAATAAAAAAGCTTTATTTCAGAGTACATTCGTACAAATCAACACAACTGTCGTTTACATATATAGGTGTCAAAAATAAACAATAGCATCGTTTACTACTACATGTGAAAGACAAAACATACGGAACAACAAGGGGTAGTAGTTAGTTTAGTACACACTCACAAATGGAAATGTCCACAAGGGACATTAGACATGGTTTGCAACATCCGTCAAAATTCAGGCGTTTCTCAAAGACTAAAGTGTCAACAGAGTGCAAACCTTGATCAAGAATTTCCTTGTCACGAATGCAGCTCTGCAAAAACAGTTGGTTTTGGCAATGGATACCTGACTTTCACTGTCTGCATGTGGGTTTCAAGGTTTTCCTGCAAGTCCTTGGGAAAGATTTCTGGCTACATATCGCAAATGAGTGATGTTTGGTTCGAAGGTTTGCTTCATGGGGAGTTGAAGGTGATGAAGGATTTGGGAGGAACATATGGTCGACCAGGTCAAGGATCAAAGTGACAAATATATTAAGCACATAGGCACTTTATACTACTGTTAATGTAAACGTTGAAATAAGTGTTGTCCTTATTGTTTAGGAATTTCCGATCAATTTTCATGTTGTAGACCAAAATGACCCACTTCTTATATTTCAAGGAAGAAATTGAAATGACAATTTTCTCATATATAAAAGTTTAGAACTGTTCATATGTCTAATAAAAGTAAAATATTATAATTTCAAGTATTTTATTTGCTTGTGACGTGCGATATTGCTTAAACAAATTCCTCTTGTTATTTCATTTATTTCACATGCTCTGAGACTCTTTTACTGCAGATGAATAGCTAAATAGTATCTTCAACTATCTACGAGCTCGTGATATTCATTGTAAATATGGTTACACTGCATAACTGTATCAATTTATTCAGATATTGACAGAATTTATTACCAGAACATACAAAAAATAAATTAAGATGTCAATTGAAATTTGAACTAAAAATATATCTGAATAAATTGCCATTGTCAGTAACGTATAGCTGATTCTGGCGGGTGTGCCTGAAAATGTTTTCTGCAGCTTTTTGCATGCTTAATTATTTGAGGTTTACTGTGCCTCATTTTAATTTTGTATGAAAAGATAAACGCTCGATTTATAGAGATTGCATAGCATTTATGTGTATCAGTTTTTCTGTTCCCATTTATCAGTTGTCCATATTATATAATGCAATTCATGGGGTTTGGTGTCTTTTCGTTTCTATTTAACTGGTGAAACCAGAGCTTTGTGTTTTGCGCACTTCGGGTCCTTTCACAGTTGTACAAGTTTTCTAGAACAAAGCAAAACCAACTTTTTATATTAGTAAGAAAAAAACCAGCTTTTAAAAAAAAATTGATATTAACTTTTCAAAAATTAATTTTCATTTTATGTAAAATTAATTAAATTTATAAGAATTTTTTACATTTATAAAGAAGTCGTTACTGTAAATAGATTGTATTACATGAATAGTACATTCGTTATAGATTCACAAGACATAAAATATTTAATAAAAATATAATATATTAGTATCTTTTTATACGAGAGTGAATTGATATTATACGTATTATTTACAAATTTATAAATATACGGAAAGAATGTGTGAAGAAAATATTAGAATTGAAAATAAAGATTAAATATCGAAATATTAAAGATGGAAGAAGATTGAAATAATTGAATATTGAGAGTAAGAAAAAAATAAGATATTGAATACTACATCTTAAGGAAAATCTAGCGAGTCGACGAGAAAAAAGAATTCGAATAATCAAAAGTAGAGAAAAAAGAAAATTGAAGAATTGAGGATAAACCCAAGAAAAGAGAATTATAAAATGGAGAAGAATAACTGAAATAATTCTAACAACATGTAATAATGATAAAAATTGTTAATAGAAAAAAAATATTTTTTATTATTTTATTTTATTTTTTTAACCGTGACAAAAAAAATATAAATAGGATTAATTAAGTAAAAAAAGTGACAAATTATATTATCACACTTTCATGCTAAAAAATGTCGTGATCATGTAAAAATTATTTTAATAAATTTTTTATCAATTTGATTCACCTTTTTTATTGATTTTCTATCCTAATTTCTTTTTTTATCCTTGATAATTTATATTTCTTATAATATACATTTTTAAGAATTTATATTTCCTACAATTTACATTTTCAATAATTTACATTCTCAATAATTTACCATTTCCAACAATTTATTATTTCTAGTAATTTCTATTTTTGTATTTTATGAATTTTTCCTTTAATTTTTATCCTTAATTTTCAGTTATTTTAATAAATTTTTATTAAATAATGGCTGAATTGATACATAAAATCTAAATTTAGAATCAAGATAATTTTATAAATATTTTTATTAAATTAATATGTAAAAGATCCATTGACTTATATTTATAGGTGAATTAAAATATTGTCTAGATTAAGAAATTATTATTACTATTTTAAATAAAAAGAGTTCACGATTCAAGTGGCTGATATCAAATATCTTTTCACTTGATACGTCCGATGGAATTCCCCTCTCACGACACACTCGAGGAATAAGTGGGTATCCGGTGAATTTTATCGTTACATAGAATATAATATTATCTTAAAGAAAGAGATTCTCAATGTTAAAATTATTTGTAAATTATTTAAATTTTGATTCTGGTTATAGTTCTCCAATAAAATGAAGACGTTTTCTTCTTCATTCTGAGTGGTTCATGAATTTCATGATATAAAGGAATTATAATCATAACACAAGGTGATATACTAAAAGAATACAATTTAACTATCAGAGTTTTAGACAGCAAAATAACAAATATTAATTGTTAATTCACTAGCTATTAAAATAGTGTCAAATTGTATGTCATAGTAAACCTCTAGTAGCAAAAGATTTATTAACCCTTATTTAGTAATGGAAATTCAATCACTAATTATTTGGTAAATAAAACTTAAAAGAATAAAACTGATTAGTTCAGTCGCTAAAAATTTAAATAATGGTATAATTTTAGTCACTAAGCCCGTATGACTTTTTAGTTAAGGACCAAAAGTCTTGAATATCTTAAACAGTAAAATAAATATGTATGAATTTCAAGTAAAATAGTTCTTATTGTTTATATATATATATATATATATATATATATATATATATATATATATAATTAAATTCATTTATTTTTATTACGAATTTTTCATTCTAAAAAAAGAATAGAAATAAAGTATATATATATATATATATATATATATATATATAATCTCATAAAAAAAATTGTCACACCTAAAAATAATATAAATGAAAAATATAGAAAAATAATTACAGAATTTATTATAGAAAAATAATTATACTAATAATAAATGTAATTAACGACCCAAAACATCAAGCTTGAATTATTATTTTTTTTAAATTCAAGGAATTAGGAAAGGAATATAGTTTAGGTTAACATGATTTATTATCATTATAAACATGAATAACGAAAATATCATTTTTATTTATGTTAGTATAATCTCACAATAATTAAATTTAGCGAATATATAATTATTTTTTATTATTAAAGATTAAATTATATTTGCTTTAGATCTAAAGATATTCTGGGTATGTTCTGAGACTTTAAAACAACAATGCATTTTCGTTTTCGAACATAATGAGTCTCGTTCTCTTCTATTGTGAATATTATATCATGATATAATGCCATGATGGACGTGGAAAAAGTATTTGCTTCATTTTCTTGACCTCAAAACTCTGTTTTCAATTTTTCTTTATTTTAGTACTGTAAGTTATAAATTAGAAAGCATTGACTCAAAATGTTGTCTCAAACAATCGATTGTTTAATTTTTTTTAACTAATCAAGTGTACTTTTGTACGTTGAATAGAGTCAAATAATTGACATTTTACTCATACTTTTTAGTATGAGAGAGAAAGAAAGCATCATTTGTACTTTTATGAAATGAGTAGGTTGATGAATGTTCAAATTTCTCAATTGAAGAAACTTTTGATTTTGCACTTACCGTTTTATTCAAAAATGCAAAATGAACACATTTATAGAGTTAAAAAGAATAGTATTCATTTAGTTATTTTATAAAATGATTTTTTTATCTTGATATAAATTAGAGACAGAAATTTCATTTTGTTAATATGTTTTACAAAATATATTTGAATACTTAGCGACCACTTTTACAGTCTCCAATTGAAATGTAAAAACTTTAGTAACTCATGGCCCTTACAAACTTTATTTAGACATGTATATAAATTTCTGAAACTTAATTTATTACGGTACCCTACAAAGAAAACGATAATGGAACCATGTAAGTATAAAGTAATAATTGAAATCATAGACATATGGAGTAAAATTTATTTTTACATATAATTTCGTTATACGTATGAAATTTTTTTATTACAGAAGAAAGAACAAATCTTATATGTAAAAGTATTTTATGAATTTAACCACACAATGCAAAATAGTGTAACTAGAGTTGCATCTGCTAGAACTTGGTGGTTGTTTGGTTGGTGTTTTGCTTGTTATTAAGGAAATCAAGCAACACAGTACTTTTGCACTTGGGGCATTTGGGGTTGGGATCATCTTTCGAAAACAAGACGTACATGAGGCATCGAAGACAACCTACGAGAAGCATGGACCTTATCTCTTCATTTGTCTCAGAAGACACGCATGACTCAGGATCCGACGAATACAAACATAATGATGACGATGTAGAAAACTCCGATGACGGGTTGGCTAATGATGAGTTTGCAGTTGTTGGTGGGGACAAACTCAGCTCAAATTCCAGCTTAGGACTCCTTCCTCTTTCAGTAGTCATCTTTGCCTTTTGTTAAGAAAATTGTATCCAGATAGGTCCTATATAATTACGATGTTAACAACATAAGAAGTATGCATAAGAGATAAAAGTTTTCTAGTCTTAACACGAAAGAACTTCAACACTTACAACAAGACAATTAAAATAAATTGGGATGATCAGTTTGAAATAAAAGAATCACAGGACAACAAGGGCCAGAAGAATCAGATAAGCTAGGATTATTGGGTATGACACTTGTTGGAATGGTTGCAATTGGATGATAACAAGCAATGCATAGAGCAACAAAAGGGTTATTTAGTTTTTGTTTCTGTTAACTGAAAATGATCATTATATAGAGGATTGGATGAGGAAGGAAGCAGCGAGGAAAAGCGAGTCCAGTCATAGAGAGAGGATGTTTAAATGTCAAATTTAATTATTGTGGTTAGTGAAAGAGCCAACCATAAGATAGAAAATTATAGCAAGGAAGCTTGCAGGAACAGATCTGATATATCATGTGAATTCGATGGAATTTGGCTGCGATAGATGCTGTCATTAATGGCGAAAGCTGCATGTTTATCCAGTTAGACACTACTATTCCTGTTCTTTGTTCTAATTAACACACGAGGGAAAAGCATTTCGTACACGCGTGTTGTTTACATTGAGAATATAGACTGAAAAGTCTACAATCCGTATTTATTCATTTCATTAAATAATGATGCAGAAATATTGATCGGCTTGGGCGTATTGAATCAGAAGTTCTATTTGGTCCACACAATCTACATGATATTTTCGTTTGGTGAAACCAATTGGATCCATAAATTGCCAAATTTGACTATTCCACGTATATGTAGTTGAACAGTTGAACAAACTATATATGTAAGTATCGTCACATCAAATTTTAAAACTAAATATTAATACACTCATGGTCTTGTCTTAATTTGTATTATTTTCTGTAAAGATAGCATTTTTCATTGGAAACAATTTTAAAATTCAAACCTAAAAAAATACTGTTTATAATAAAATAACCTGTATCCTAGACAGCATAATAACTCCATCATTGAGCGAGAAACAGTGAAGAAGGTTTTGTATGTGTGATAACTGTAACTATTCAACCAAATTAGATTTTAGATTCTCATTTTTCTAAATATCTCGTTAATATTTATCATGTATCTTCCTAACTTTTAACTGTCAAATAAGGTTTTTGTGGTCTAAAATAATTTTTCTAGGTGGTTTGAAGCATGGTAGGGAGTTCCATATGTAAGTAATATCAATTACCACATTTTCTTAGTTGGTCTCACAATGACACATCTTTCTCAATTCAGTGATTTTCTTTTACCTTTCAAAAGAAAATTTGTAAAGAAAACCTTCAGGTTCCTTTTCATATTAAATTAATGTTCCATCATCTAGTGGTGCACATATTTGTACTCATGTTAAGTGTGTATACGATTGAATATTTCCTTCCACGGGGTTGCTATAGTTTCGGATGCAGAAAACTTGTATACCATCTCTGCAGATAACTTGATAAGAACCTTGCTTGGTATATACCATTTATTGAGTTAGAGTTCCATAGTTGTCCTTTTCTGTTTCCATATGCATCTTTTAATGATCAACTACTGCTACGAACCCAACATAAATATTGCTTTCAGTTTTCGACTATACTCCATCTGTTCATAGATCATTCATAGGTTGGGTTGGTGTGGCACTTATGCCTTTTATTTTTTTCTTACTTTATTAGGGTTTTTGCCCTTTGGTGGTTTTGTTTCATCTCTTTAAATGTTACAGTACTCTTGGTGCTGGATCTTAGCACTCCTTGTGCTGTGTTTCTGCTTCCTCTCCTCTTAATGCCTATCAAAATAATAAATGAATTTGATTTATTCGTTATGTTGATTTCCATTAAAATTGAATTGGAAATGGTGCAGTTTATGTGGGAAGACCTTTTTTAATATTAAAAGAGAACTGTTTATTTATGAAAGTTGATTTACACACGGATGAACACATGAAAGATTTCGGAGGAAACAGTGTCTTTGACCAAAAACGAAAACTTTCACACCGTTAAAAACTGTTGATAACAAAAATATAAAGAACATTATTAGTTTGAAACTTGAATGGGTCATCATAATAGCCTGGAGCAAGTAGATTAAAGTAAAAGAGCCAAGAAAAGTCGAAAGCAAAAATCTTAAGAAATATACTCAATTATTATAAATACCATGACCAGATACGTAAGATGTGTCTGTTTGTCAAACTGATATATAATTCGTCAGAGTTTTATTTACTTTGTTTGTTCCCACTATTCTCTTTATTTCAACTAGAATTTGAATGATTATGATGTGTTGAATGTTTGACTTTAGTATTTTTGAAGAAGCAATAAGATTTTAAAATAAACCTTGTTCTGGTTTTCACGAAACTACTAATGAATTCTGTGTCTCTCGTAAAACTGCTAATGACTTGGTTTGGTATTTAACGCTTTGCTTCTGGAAATTACTCTTTTTGGGTAGAAACTCATCTATTGAAGATTCAAGTTTGGGAGAACATTTTTGAAGAGTCAATGCATTATGATTCTAGAATCAATTTTCTTAAATATTTTCGGAATACGTGATTTTGAAGCTTTTAATTACATTCCAGATAATTTTTTTCGAAAAGTGTAAGAATTTTAAAAGGTTATTTTTATTATTATGCAGGATAAGGAGGGGTAGGAAAAATTTGCGAGAATTATAAATAAACAAAGGCGGTTTCTTCTTCACCTCATATCTTCTTGTTGGAACCCATATTAATCTAAAATCACAGTATTGTTCCTAATATAAATAGGTTTTAGAAAGGTTATTAGATTAGTAATACATTTTTTAAAAATACAATCTAAAATATTTTCTGGATAAGCCTATTTACAATTCCTTTTTAGATTGTGTTTTTTTAGAAATATATTTCAGATTTAACAATTCACAATACTATAAATGCAGATTAAATATATTCTTTATATAAATTTTTATACACATGTTATATTATTCAAAACATAAATTATCAATAAATTTCTAACGGACACTTGAAAGAGATGCAAGTGTTGGTACGAATGTGGAGACAAAGACCACAACAATATTTTTAATATTTTACAAATATTATGCGGGTGCAGAAAAAATTATTAGGGTGCATGAAGAAGTTGTAGAGTATAACCTAGCCCATCAAACGGAAGATGTGAAACCTGATTGGACTAGCCCAAATTCCATGACTTGCAGATTTGTTAGCCCAACAAGGTATCAAATGACTATTTATGGGCCTCTATTTTCTGGAGTCAACCTAGCCCATCAAGGTAGACGAATTGACCTGATTTTTTTCAGTCCTAAAATTCAAGAGTTGGTCTTATTTATGGATTATTTGAGGTGAACCCAATTTATTACCTCTATGATTTCATTAGGTTAGGGGTTGATGGTTTTCAGAAAATTCCTTTATAATTGAACCTTGTTTTATTCAAATTGAATATTAATAAGATGATTTCAAATTGCGTTCATAATATCTTATATTGGGATGGATTTAGGGATAGATCTTCTTGATTCTGGATGCATGTGCTTTTGTGAATTTCTAAACATAATGTTTTTAGGTTAATCCTTATGGGTTTTAAGGAATTAGGGCATTGTGATTAGTTTAACAGGATATACACCAAGAATTTATCATAATTTGATGTTGTCACCATAAACAAAACCTTATCTGAATCAGAATCATCACCACAACCCTACCCAATTTGAGTTTTGTCTTCTTTCACTTTTATTTATTTATTAATATTATTATTATTATTATAGTCAAAACATACCCTAAATCTCATAAATGAGTTATGCAATCTCATTTTTATGTTGTCGAAGTTATCGAATGACACTCATGACGGCTAAGCCATTGTTATGGAGCTCGCTCACTATTCACTTTCCATTTATCTTTGGTTAAAAAGAAAAAGGAAAACGAGGACAAAAATTCAAAATCTGAACTGAAAAATAAAATAAAAATAAAATTTATAAAATTTATTTTTTAACTAAATTTTTGTATCTAATTCAAAGGCTCCGTTAGATGAAAAGAGATTTGAACTGTTTTATGGTATTCTATAGAATTAATATGTTCGTTGATAAGTCTCTTCAAAAAGAAATGTTCGTTGAGTATAGTTCTTTAAGCAATTATGGGTGTGTAAAAAGTGGCTCAAAATAGTTAAATCAATACTAAAGAAAGAAATAAAAAATACGTATAGAATTAAAAAATACATTGTTTGTATAAACATAAACAAAAAAAAAGTGTAGAGTGAAGGAAAATATACAGTGTAATAAACATTTCCCTCTATTTTTAGAGGAATAATTTTTTATACGAGGCCGACAAAAAACATTTTTTCCTTCTCCCTCCTATCAGATAAACAATACCAAAATTAATATTTTCAATCTATCTCACTCATCTCCATTTTTATACTCAGCAAATAAGGTAAAACAATAAACGAATAAAGTAAAGAAAAATTAGTATCCTTTTATAGAACACATATACTGTAAAAATGCCCCGGCATACACTCTTAATTTCAATATAACTTCTTTCTGACCAATAATTGTCCTTTTCAATTTTTAGTATATTGCAGTTTTAGACAGTCTTTTGACACTGAAAAATTAACGGGTTAACAAACTTAGTTGAATAATTAATGCGTTGATGATAATTTTTTCTTTTACGTTTGTGAATGCACCAATTTTTTTCTTTTGAAATTTGTGCATGTCATATGTTTGAATGTAAAATCGTATCACATTAAGGTTACCCTACGTTAACATTTATTTTATTTGTTGTCTATATACACAATGGTTGATCTGAGAGGTCGAGTAGCCATTGTACGGTTTTACAGCTAAAGTTCAATTAAGCTTTGTGTACTCGCTTGGGATTATTTGATACTAACATACATCAAAGTTACAGCGACATTTTTTTTAATTAAATCATAAACGCAAGAGATTGAAGAATTAAATAGGCTACAAGCCTTCATTACATTGCTTCAATTACAAATTTACAGCGACAAAAGTAAAAACTAAACAATGCCAAAAATAGAGAAGTGGTCTCAAACATACCAAATCCTTGTACATGAACTGACCTATATTGAAACAAGATATATTTCGAGTTTAAATCTCCGAGAGTGACAATCAAACTAAACTCAAATTTCTTAAAGAAATATTTTGAGTTTAAATCTTATATATGAAAACAAATATATTGAGAAAGATATCTCATTAAAGATAGTCAACTTAGTCAACTAAGTTTATCAGTAGGAATCGGTGTAAGATATAATATTTCTATTCAACAACATTTTAAACAAGATTCGAACACTGCACTTTTCATTAAGATATAGTTAAAAATCGTAATTCAAACGAGAACCAAATCTTCTACAACGTTCCCTCCAAATGAATTAAGGAACAACTTTACAGCTTGAGCATAACGACCGCACTTGATGCGTTTGCTTAATCCTCTAAAATTTGCTGTCGCTCAAGCTCAAGAATCCGCTCAGCTAGAGGGCTTACAGTGCCATTTATGGTTCCATTGCGTCCTCTACACTGTTGCAGTTGTTCCTGGAGATGCCGCACAAGCTCATTCAGTCTTCGAATATTCTTCTCTTGCACTAAAATAATCTGCAGCGAAGAACAACCATTTCAAGAAAATAATCAGTAAATATCCGATTAAAATAGCATAGTATGGAAAAATTCTGTCGTAATTTTGACAGTTAGAGAGATAGGCACATAATTCACGTTTGTAAGCGGAGATGGAAATGGGTCCAATGGTAATATTAGTTCAGAGGTTGATTAATATGGAAGATGAAGAAGATAGCAGAAACCAGACAAATGGGAATGCAGTTAGTGGAGAGAAGGGGAGGAATCATAACTGAATGGGACAGGTGGCATTCAGGATACAAGACTGAGAGAAGACAGGATGGGGAAGGAGAATATTTTAGTGCATGGGTGAGAAGGGTGGAGTGCACCACTGGGTGACAGTAGCTGAAATTTGTTTTATTTTTCCCCTAGACGATTTTCAATGCTGTAAGGTGCTTGGCTCCGTTATCAAAATAAATAATGCTCATCACTTCTTAATCTCATTGAGTGTGGTATAAGAGCTCCTAATCCTAGGAGCTGAATGGTATCTATGAGGATGAAAGGTCAAGTTGAAGCTTTGAAATGAAGGATAACATATGCAGGGAAAGTGGCAGGAAGCTCTTTGAAAGTCAAAGGGGGGAGATGATTTAAAAGCTGTGTGCGAGTCTGGCTCATGTCAAAAGAGAAAGATCAGAAGGACTGGAGGACAAGGGCTTGAGGTATCATATTTCACTCGTGAAGATCCATATGGATATACCAAGCTGAGTGATACTGACACTAATTAAATTCCAGGTGATGGGAAGGTGGTAACAGTTGCTATTTGTTTGAAGGATCTGATACTAGTTTCAATAAAGGGGAGTAAGAACTGAGTGCTCCGTGTCTCACTTTCAAGAGATCACTATTGGGTCAATTACATTGAGTACCAATGACCTTAAAGCAAACAAAATCCATGAAGAGCACAGAAGCAGTTCAAGCTCACCACTCTGCTTCGACAAGCGGACTAAGAGATGCTTACTAAGGTCCAGGCCGTCCAGATGACAGATGACCTTACGAATCTGACTCCGAAGTTTAGCAGACCAGGGAACATTGATAAAGCTGGCTCAAGTGGTGCAAAATTGAAGTTGGGCATTGGGGGAAGTGTTTTCAGTGTGAAGAACATATTTTTCCAGGCCATGAGTGTCAGGACAAGCAATGCATATTCCGTTGATGGAATTTATTATTTCCAGGGTTCTAGTTTATTTTATATGCTGTAAGGAGATTATCTCCATTTTTCTTAGTAAATAATATTCATCACTTCTTAAACAGAGAGATTAAAACATGGTAAATGTTGGAAAAATTGTGGACAGTGTGTAAATATACACTAGTTATGCACAATGAAGATAAGCCATAATAAAACTATCTCATTTTGTGTCACATTAAATTTCTTTAGTACTTAAAGTTCCCAAATTTACTTTATAATAATCTTTCACAAAACAATCTATCAACATATTGGACTATTTGATGGATGGGTTGCAACATTCTAATGAATGCGTTCTCCATTACCAATAACCATAATTAATCTTCTAATGTGCACCAGTTTTGAAAATGAGACAATCAAAACTATGTCCATACATGTATAACAGTATCATGTTCCCACAAGGAGTTTTTAAATGGCATATAGCTATATACAGCCAAAAGATTATCTTTTCAACTTAGAATTATTTTATTTCCAGTTATAATTGTAGAAAGTACAAAAATGCAAATCTAAGCATGATAACCTTGGATATTGGGAACCTCCCACAAACCTCAGAAAGGGCATACAGGATAAATCTAATCATAAAATTTTCTGTTACACAAAGATGACTTTTTTTATTTTGAAAAAGTCATATGGAACAGAACCTGAGCACTCCAGATGAATCCAGAAGACGACAGAAACCACACCAAAGCACATAAAAAATAAGAGGTGGTTAGCAAGGAAAAACCAATGACTCATGGCTGTACATCCAAATTCCAATCCAAGAATTCGTGGATTGAAAGAAGCTAACAAATGAAAGCAACTAACACCAACTTGAGGGATTTTGAGTCAAGCAAGAAGGGTTAAAGCACTAAATGAATGTAAGTGAGAGAGTTCCCGTGGAAAGTACTCCACTATCCCTCTCTTCCTTAACACCAATTTCTTTATACATATAGTTTTTTCTTAGCTTCCAGATCTCTATAACTGGAAAGCACTCCTTCATTTCTATTATTAATAATAAAAGCGCAGAGAAGAATTTTACATATTTGTTTAATTACAGGATATTTACATGCTACTAAACTCAGATCACTCATCTTGGTTTCTTGAAATTTATAAAATTCGGGATACATATTGTCTCAACTGAGTTTCCAGGGTGTTATTCTTATTTTCTAAGGGTACAGAGGGAGGGGGGTGTAAGGCAACAAGGGTACATAAAAACTATTCTTGAAAAGTAAACTCCAAACACTCCTTTATCCCTCCAAAAAAATCACCAAAATATATTGATAATAAAGAATGAGTAAACACAAGGAACATGGTTGCGCACCGTGAGCCTACTGACATTGCAAAATTCATGCACAGCATGATGATATGAATAGACCCAATCTAACATACAAGCGAGTACATAAACACTCATCTAAACAAATATATTACAGTAGTAGCAACAATAACTATCTGTGTTACACTCTCGACACCTCTCTCAGTGGGAAAAATTTCCTTACTCGATTATTATAATTGAAATGTACCTCATCCAAGTGCAGGATAAAAAGCAGCACAAATCAAAACTGTAGGCAAATGACAAAAATAACAACACCGCGTGAAACAGATGCTACATCAAATAACACAAGCTACTGGTTATATCAACATAGAAATATCATTTGAAGCATAAACTCAAGACCTTCTCCTTTACGGTTTCTTCAGCCTTAGAAATCTGATGCTGCTTCTGAGATACGGCGGGGTTGGAGTCAACATCGGCCACAAGCTGTTGCTTCCACTCGAACTGAGAGGTGATTATAAGTATAATCAGCAAGAAGACAAGCAACATGGGCCTCGACATGGTTCCTGATTACAGAGCAAACACCTGCTCAAGATTCAAAGTCAATTAACAAAAAACACACTCAATCAGTTCAATTCGTGATTCCTAAAATTAGCATTGAAATTAGGGTTACTAGGATCGTGGAATCGCACAGAAATCATGATCAGAAAAGAAGTGCAATTGAATTTGCAGTAGGAACAAGAAGAAGAGGAACACTTACGGATGGATGTAAGGGAGAAAACCCTAAATTCATTATCGGTTGGTAACGGTTGGGAGTGGGACGTTAGGAAATGGAAAAAGCAATTTGTCGAGTGAATTGGGAACAGAAGGAGTGACGCAGAACTCAAATCAAATTTGGAAGTTAAGAGGTTCTTTACCAGCAATGGCAACAAGTGTAACCAGAAACTGCACTCCAACTCGATCGTTCTCTCTCTTTCAACTTTCCACTTTTCTTCTATCTCTCAACCATTTACGGAATAACTCGGAAGATGAAAGCCGCGATTCGCTGTGGTTCGGAACACGCAATGCTACCCTATGCCGCACTTTTTTATCATTGCTATCATTATTACCACATGCCTTTATTTTAGGTAATTTCATCACGTTAAGAATGATTTAATCACTCACGAACAGTGACTGGAGGGTGAGACCATATATTATTAATAAATAATAAATAAATATAAAAAATGATAAAAAATAAAAGAATAAAGAGATAAAATTGTAAATATATAAATAAAAATCAAATAAATATTAAATTTTGAAATGATAAAATAATAAATTATAAAAAAATTATAAAATTAAAAAAAGATTGAAAAAAAATTTATAAATATATAAATAAATATATTAAAATTATAAATATATAAATAAATATATTAAATTATCATTAAATTTAAAATCAAAATTATTAATTAAGTTAGAGATACCCTTCTTTAGTTCTCAAAGGGCTTCAACATCCCCACTGCTAACGAACAAGATCCCCACTGCTAAGGAACAATATGGATGATCATAAGAATTATATTAAAATGGCAGATCATAAGGATTATATTAAAATGGCACTTTGACCCACGATTTTATATATGTGTTTTAATATTGAATATTTACAACATAATTTAATAATTAATATTTATGTTTCTGAGTATTAAAAAAAAAATCTCGTTTGATAGGTTTCTTGTCCACGTGTGTAATCTAATCTATTTATATATTGAAAAATAAAGAATCCTAAATCCTTGCCATCATGAGTAATGATGTACAATCCTTCCCAAACATTCATCCACTACAAACCCCATTTCGTGTCGCGCAGAAGATCCATCATTGATTTGTACACGAAATATACAAGACTAGGCTAATTCAATATAATGCAAACATACTATAACGAAAGAACCAGTTTAACAAATTGACAACACTTGCGTTGCACTAATCATAACACTTCACTTGTTTGACTCCACGCAACAAAGACCAAAAATATCAAAGTGAAAACCAAGAACACAAGTACCACCAAACTGTTGGTTATTCCAGCAAAGAAGGTACTCTTTGACGAGGGCATTATTGTGCTTGGGAAACCAACTACTGCAGGGGAAGAAGGCTTTGAATTCCTAACCCTTAATCTTATTCTCCGTTGTGCTGTGCCTTGTGCAGGATTCATTTGTGCTGGTTCCTGTGGTCGTGTGTGATCATCTGCCGAGATTGATGATTCATCTAATTTTATGATATCATCCTTCAGTATCTCAGCGTAACAATCCTCTTCATACACCTCCTACAAAATAACAAGGTCAAGATATTTGATCAATTTTATCCACCGCATTACTACACAATACAAATAAATGGATAAACTTCTCAATAAAAATAATAAAATGTAAAACCAATCAACTTTCTGTTAATTCATTTTACTTTCTGATGACTTAGGAAGAAATTTATCCATTCATGATTTAAGAAACTGAATCTAGCACTATATATCTACCTTTGGTTGATCTGAAGATGCTGTCAAAGTAGCTTCATTAACTGGTCGATGATTGGATTCGGAGACAGAATCTATCTGTTCATTGGAAGGAGAACCGTAACTGCTACTGCTCCTCTTGGAGCTACATCCTACCTCTTTGTCTTGCTCACTAGCATCCCTTTGATCTATACCACCAACTTCTGAGATGGCACAACCACTTTCATGTGAATTCACGGGACGCCATTGACTTGAAGAAGCTCTATTCGAATGATCGCTCAAACGGAACTCTGCGTTCCTCTTCAGCCGACAAATGACCAAAGAATCCTGACACATACATAGTACAACAAACATACAAGAATCCATGAATCTGAGTCATGTGACTTGTGTTGTCTTCTATAACACGATTGAAATTTGCTATAAATCACAATACATTTAATCTTGAAAGGAATATGTTTAAGAGTATGTTAATAACTGTTCACCTGAGACTTGTCATTGATGCAGTACTCATGCATAATCCATTCAGTCCTTTCCCCTTTGGGTGCACGTCCCAAGTGGAACACCAAAGTCCTCTTTGTTCCTATAACGTTAGAACCTGACTTCACATTACGCTCTTTGCCGGTGGCCTTCCAGTATCCACATTCAGTCGCTCTTTTACTTTGTGAACCATTTGGGTACTTCCTTCCACGGGGAGAGAAGAAGAACCATTCGTTATCTGATTGAATGAACGATTTGGCTGGTTTCAAACCAGTATTAGTAAGTCCAATGAATTGATGGCAGTTCTAAACATGCTTAACAATTTTTAATTACATGCTATTTTCTAGCTTTATTTAGAAAATGAATATCAGAAAGGCTGAACAGCATTGGACAACTGCAACATTTCATTTCAACTTTTCAATGCAAATAGAACTCAAACTACATATCTTGTTTTCTCTCTGGTTGTTCTGTTTATTCTTTACCATGTAACAAGTCAACAACAGATGAGATTCATGTTTACTGAATGTCCAACCAAACACACAACATTATGCCTCAAACATCATAACTCACGGTAACTATTTAAAACCAAATCAAAGTCGGTAATGAGGCAAAAGTGCATAAAATTATTAGTTAGTATAATAACCAGGCTTTACAAAAGAAAATCATTGCTTTCTAACAGTTTAAACAAAAACACCTGTGGCTAAATAACTTAATACAACAACCATCGGCTAATGTATTTAACAGTTTTTTTTCTTTCTATTTTCATTTTCAGATTACTAAAATAACATCGGTTATTCGAACGCTACAAATTTATTATTCATACTTAAAATTTTAAATTTTAATAAAGAAGTCAAGCCATCAAACAACATAATTGTTTGAAAATTTTCGTAATCTTAAAGAAGTTTCCAAGTAAACACTTCTGTCTAATAGTTATAGCATGTTATTATATCTATCACTATTAGATTTTAAAAACTATATAAATAACTATAATATAACTTGAATCATGTAATTTCATGGCACCTTGTACTCGTAAACCATATTATTTCATTGACCCAACTTTGCCTTAGCCAAGAGCTGGGGGGATGCTAGGAGCATCAAAATTTTCAAGGGTAAAGGATTCTTTTACTTTAATATGGTTCATGATAACATGTTATAGTTTATAATTATTTGTGTAGGAGACGTTAATTTAACTTCGTGTGTCTCGTTCATACATGTTCTAGTCACTTAACAAGAAGCAATTGATTTTTAACAATTTGAATACTGCAGGAAAATTTATTCATGTCAAATATGTGTGGATTTTACTACTTCATGTTAAAAATTTGTATTAGTATACAAAGTTGACAAATTTTGATTTAGTTGCTACTTTCACAAATAACAAGTTCCCACCCATCCCACATGGACCATTTTGATTTTCTGTTTTTCAGCATCAACTGTGACCAGTCAATAATTGAAAACCTCTGTTTTCAGTTATACCAAGACTAACTTACCTTCACTGAATCTAAAATGAGATAAGTTTAAAATCTTAAATGGTATCAAATTATCTACATACTAAACCTAGCAGGGTTGTCTTGTCTTGGACCACCATCATAATCATGACCAATATGTATGACACTATTCAAATTTTCAACTTCCGACTTAGTATTACATGTCATATGGATATAGACATTAGTTTGACTAAAATAACCATAAATTACCTAATAATTCTCCTCCTAAGAAGATGTAATGAAAAAACTAGACAAAAGCTTATGAAGCTCGGGTTCATCTCATGTAATTTAAGACTCTGCTTTTTATTATGCCAAAACTAACAAGTGAAGACACATGAAGTCAGAATCAAACAACGAACCCAAAACTTGGATTAAAAAATGAGCAGATAGAGAAAGAGTATTAACCTGGTAAATCCCAAGGCTCGTATTTACAGAGCTCAACCTCAGAAATGACTTGAACACTCTCTTCATGCCCGTCCAATTTCTTCCTAAGGTAATAAGAAATCAGCTCCTCATCGGTGGGGCAGAATCTGAAGCCAGGAAACATGGACGAAGCAGCGATCGACATCTGGGCTTCCCTGGAAACCCCGTCCATCATCCACTGCTCTGTTTTGCCTGAAGCAATTCCCGACACAAGAGTAAATAAAAGGTAGCTAGGGTTTAAGCATAAGGTCGTGCATGGTTATAAAGGAACAGGGTTGGTGGTGGAGGGGTTATTCCTTTGGGGGAGGGGTGGCTCTGTTTGGGAGGTTGAATGCTTTGCTTGGTTGCGTGTGGCACGCAAGCTGGCGCGGGTTCTGGCGTGGTGGTAGAGCTTTTGAGAGAGTCGGCGAAGAATGTTTGAAGTGGAGAGGTGAGGTAACCAAGGTTCGTTTCCATTTCCTTCTTGTCACGTGGCCTCACATCATCTCCTTCTTTCTCTGTTTTTATGTCATCTCTCTTCAAACCCTCTCCCACCAGCTCACACATTCACCCACCAATGCTATTGCTTCTTATATAAAATACTAATATTTATTGCCATTTCGGTTTGCTAAAAACGATGATCTTGTTGCTTCTAGCATTCTCATTCACACAGTTTTTTTATTTTCTTTTCTTCTATCATTCTTTTTTATATATGCTCTTACAAATTATCAAAGGTAATTTACATTTTTCTGTATTAGTATAATCTCTCTTTAAATAAAAGTCATTCCTATGTTTATCACCTATATATATATATTCAAACTTTGGCGTAAAAAAAGTTATTTTTCATGCACAAAAGCTAACCTTTAGGCGGCAACGAACTGAAGAATACCTTAAACAAAGGTTACTTTTTGCTTGCGTGGTACGTTGAAAGTAAGGAATTTAGGAATAAAAGATTTTAACTTGGTATATATCTCTGTCCATGTTTTAATATTGAATACACATAATATGTGAAGTCAAAACAGGGTATGTGAATAGTAAGTCCAAATCCAGAGTAAAGCTAGAATTAAACGCTCTCACAATGACTCCATCCTAAATTTGCTTCTATTTTATTGGTCCAGAGAATTTAGCGCAATAACTGTCCAAGCAAAATGCAAAAGAAAGGTAAGTAAACAGGGGAAGGGGGGAGTCAAATAAAGAAAGGGTCAAATCTGATTCAAGAAAGAAAAAAAAAAAAAAAAACTCAGAAGAGAAAAGAGACACGCAATGCAAAAAACAGAAGAGAAAAGAGCTACGTAATAAATAAATAAAAAGTAATAAATTTGATGCGCTACTCAGACTTCTATTTCAGAACTAGTATGTAGTGTTTTCAGGAACCCAGAGTACGGGACCACAAGGCATGGGAGAACAATATTGTTTATCCGAGAGAATGCTTATTTCTTAAATGGCTTAAAAAGAATATTATTATCAACTTGTTTCTTCTTAAAATTTGATTGATTTCGCTTAAATAAGAGATTTGGGTTCTAACCAAATTTTAATCATGTAGATTCTTTTTACTTAGACTAGCAAACGGTTTTCAATCAAAACATGCATAAGAATAAAAAATCCCATAGTATCGAAAACCGCTAACAATGTAACCTAGTGTGCAGATTGTCAATCGAAAGTACTATTTTTGATATTTTTTATTAAGAAGTGCGAAGTAAAGGAAGCAACAAAAGATATCGAAAAAGCAATGTAGAATATTTAAATTACAAAGAAATGTCAATGACAATCGAATTGAAATTGCAAAAATATAAATGGCGAAGAACTTAAACGCAGAATCTTATCTTGCATAAAGGTAAAATAACAAGGAATTGAAAATACAGAAACTTAAAGTTGATAAACGTAAATTGCATGAACATAAATTACCAGGAAAAGTAAAGAAAGCGGTAAAAACAGTCAATGAGAATGGAAATCCAGATCGCCAGAAACTTCATGATTCGTCGTTCTCCGGTAGACTTTTCACTTGTGTTTCTGTTGTCTCTGCCAATTTCCCCTTCTTCTTCAAGCTTCGTTCTATTTATAGGCATCCTTCAACATAACCTCCTAAGAGCAGTTAAAAAATTGTCACCACGTTCCATGTGCACGTTCCTCGATTTTTACCTTAGTTTACGGTTTAGAAAACCGCTTCCACGTTCCATGTGCATTATAACCGTTTCTCGATCTCAATTCCAGTTATCGAGTCCGATTTCCCTTAACCTTGACTTTACACTATACTTTATCATTACTTTCATCGATTCGTTTCTCTTTTTTCTGATTCTCGATTTCCATTCTCGATTTATGTTCATACTATCTCGTGGTCACCAGGTGTCTTCCAACCGTCTTTCCAATTTATCAACTTTTTAACCAATCATATGATCTTCGATTCTTTCTCTTCTGTTTTTCGATCCTTGTATCGATTTTTCACTAACAAAATGTCTCCTTGGAAGAATATAAATATTTGTATCAATTTTATATTCTTTCAAAAATAACTCCCGCCCTTAAACGTCTTTGAGGCTCAAAATAACTTTTTAGGGTTTCTGGGGTTTTTTAGGGTTTCTAGGGTTTCTCTGCTTTATGTCACATATCAAATCACATCATTTCTACTGTCACAATGCGTACGCCACATATTAATTACCTTCTTCAACTTCGTCGTTCCAGATACCCTAGTCGACCTCTTTAAATACTTTCATTAGTTTTTTACCCTTGTTTTTTACCACGAACCTAACCTACTCCTTCTTCATTGTACCTTTTCTTCATCTTCAACCTTTCCACAAACTGTAATGGCGACTTCCAGATCCTCCGACTTCTCCACCCCACCACTTTCCTCAGTAACTTCGACTCTGATTGAGATAAATGGAAAGAAGTTTGCTCCGATTCCTTTGATGGAAGAGGCTTCGCAGAAGATTATCGAGACTCAGGTACTTAACCCTTATGTCGTTGATAGTATAGATTATTGTGTTTGGTGGTCCCATCTGCTATTATGGTGGGTCGTTTTCTTCTTCCCTCAGCCTTCCTTCAGAAAGTAAAGCCCTTATTCACAAGTCTGAAGTTCGAATTGATTTCCTGAATGCTGTTTCAAAAGTATATCGAACGGGCCCTCCCCACAAAAAGCCTTTGTACATTAGATGATTTGATCGAGTAAAAACCAAATTTGGGAATCATTGGAGAGATGTAGGGATCTTCGATTTTCTACATCTATCTCGATGTGATCTGTCGTTTCTGGATATGTCCATGTTTCTAGCTGCGGTCCATTTATGGAACAAAGACTTGCATGCACTGGAACTTCCCTGCGGTCCCCTTTCTCCCACTCTTTTTGAAGTTGCTGCAATCACCGGACTAAAACCCACAGGGGAGAAATATTTTAAGGGTGCTTTCCCTTCAGATGACTCTTTAAGATCTAAAATTGATTGGGAATCGAAAGCTTATGGACATTTCATCGAAAAGCATTTTGTCGATGATCAATCGGTAGTTGTTTCTGACGAGGAGCATGTGACTTTTTTGGTATATTTTTGTACCCACGTATTTTGTCCCCGATCCATCCAAATCTCGTCCCATTTTTATAACCTTGCCTTTCTCCTCCATACTGGCCAACCCAGAATTTGTCTGGCAAAGCTCTTATTGGCCCATGTTTATACTACTTTTGATGAGGTCGTCGACATTTTGAATACCCCAAGAGCCTCAGGGAATTTTTCAGGTCCCATCTGGTTTATTCAATTGTGGCTTACTTCGATCTTTGAAAGCATCCTTTCCCCAACATCCAAAGTTTCCCCAAGTTTGAATTTAGAAGGCGCTCGATTATCATCTCGACATCCTCACCAAAAATCCTCCGATGAGGCTAGTTATCAAATTTACCTAAAATTTTTGTTGACCCAATTTCATTTTGAATCAAACTTGGCCCCTTTTACCGTATATCATGGGAAAGTTAGTGACAAGCTTCAAGGGCCAACCTGGTTTAAATCAAAATTCTTCGCTCTTACTCCAGGGTTGCAATCAGAATTGGTAGATGTGTGGAGTAATTACTTGACCCAGGATGTTCTTGTATCTGGTTTTCAATCGAAGGATCTCCAACTCGTCATCTATTATCCCCAGCTATTTTCGCGGCAGTTTGGATTAAGTCAAGCTTTACCTTTTTTCACTCTCGATACTTCCCCAAGGTCCAAATTAAGTGAATCAAATGTTGGACGGGAATTTGCCAAATTGTTACCACAAAGCCCGATGCATTTCTATCCTTATGCTTTTGAATCGAATTATTTGTCTACTCTTGGTTTTTTTCAATGGTGGAACGATTGGTTTTCGAGCATTCATTCTAATTTTGATATAGTTCAATCGAAATTGACTGTGCATCCTTCTCTCGTGTTGCAGGATAAATCGAAAGCAAAGAAATGTACATACTCTCATTATCTCCAAATATCTCGATTCGAAATTTTTTATCGAGAATGCTACAACCCCCTTAAATTAGAAGAGACCTTTTATAATGTTGTTATCTTCCTAGTTAATAAAACAGACACCAACAGATCAAACCACAAAATAATCAATCCTCGAGAAAAAACTTCGTTTGAAATGTATTGTCCCAACCATCTTCCCACTTTCCCTACAGCCCCCTTTGGAATCGCCAAACCTTTAACTCATCCTAAATGGATTCGAGAGTTGAGATCCCTGAAAGAAACTATTTCACCCAAACCCAAGAACAAGGAAATTTCGATATCAAAACTGTCCTACTTCCCTTACCTAAATCTTCCTCAAAATCTTCTTCCTCCCTGGCTTGTCCATATCGACCGAGTCAAGATTTTAACTCCATCACCCTTTGGTGAGATTTTACTGCCTCTTTTGGGAGTATTTTTTAATTTTCTTCAAATTGCAATCTAATTGTTTTCCTTTTTCGACAGTTTCGAAGCCTCACAAAGTCACCACCTCTGAGAAAGACTGGGAGTCTTCGGATGAATCAGATCCATCTGCCCCTACTCATAAGCGAAAACATTCTGCTATAATTTCCTCATCTTCGAGAAAATCGAAGGTTTCTTTTCGATTCCCTATTATCTTACTTATTCGACTTCTTTTTCTATAGCTAATTCACTTCTCATTCAGAAACAAAAATAAAAAAAGAGTCATCGAGCCACTCGACCTGTCATAAATCCGTTATCGACGGACTCTAATACGATCAACAAAGCAGGTCAACCGACACAGACCACTCATTCGAGTCACGTAAGAAATTTCTTTTTTCATATAAATTGTGTATCTAGAATTTGACAAGTCCTATAACATGATTCCAAACTTCGATGTTTTCAGGACCATCCATCAGCTATGGTATCGACAAATGTCGAGTCTCTGGTCCAATCAACAGTACCCATTTTTGAGGTACAATTTTTTTTTTAATTTTTTTTTTCTCGACTCGTTTCATATATTTCACCCTCTAACCTATGTTTCGATCCACAGCAACCCGAGGCTGTACAAAATCCTTCTCCCGCACCAACGCACCTCGACCTACCTTCCCTTGGTAATAATTTCTTTCTTTACCCAATTTTACTTTATTTCTATTAAGATTTTTCAAT